GATGAATGCAGGTTTATTTTACGGTAAATGTAGGAAGAACAGTTAGGGAGCGAGCAAACTTTATCAATAAAAGATTTATTATATAGAAAAAAAAAATTTTTTTTTTTCTTGCGGGACACAGTAGGTAATCTCGAGCGGGCAAGATAGCTCGGGTAGCTAATCATAACGCAGGATTCGGTTCATCTTGCCCACTTACGGAGCTAGCCATATGATAAGAGATGATCAGATAGTTGATGAGGTTAGGTTCAATCTCGAGCTCATAATCTCATTGGTAATTACCTTAATATGAATCAAACCAAAGACTGTAGTCCACAATAATTCCAAGTTCGCTATATCAAAAAATGTTATCTGAATTGCTGTCCAGATCTAGAGAAAACAGCTTCCAGCTGAAAACGATAATTAGCTGCATGTTGGAAGTTGTGCGTTTTTCATGGGAAACTGTGCATCTGTAGCGTGTGACTGAAAGCTTCGCATTTTAGAACTGCAGTGTTCGATTAAATGTTAATCAGAGAACTTGACACTGCGAGATGTTTTGTATGAGGAGGCATGTGCTTACATCGCTTTTTTTGATCGCGTTTTATAATATTCTCGGATCCCCAAAACTTTTTCCGGCCGCGACTGAAAAATAGAGTGCTTGTAAATTGTGTAATAATCAGATATTCACTGTATGTAAAAAAAGATAAACAGTCAGTTTAATTTCATGGCTAGACTCCGCAAATTGATCTCAAAAGACACTCCTAAAATCATACAGAGCTTTTATCTCAACGCTCTTTGAGTAAGTACTGCCCCGCAGTTTGGCATTTTTGTGGTGCCCGAAATACTGAAGTTAGAAGTCTTAAACAAGCGTATACGCAGACAAGAAATTATCAGATTTATGTTTAAAGATTTTAGTTCATCTTACAGTCAGCTACTTGCAATCGATAAGGTTAAAAACAAGCCCTTACACGACATGCAGTTACATAATATACTGATTGTCCTGCACAAGAGCCTCCTTTTAAAAAAATTATTTTAACTAGTGAAAGACATGTTTGCCCTCCGCTTTGAAAATCATCCTTCGTGGAAACCTTGTGGAAATATCGTGGTGTAATTTTGTTTGAACTCAAATTTATTCAATTTGCTTTTTTCTCTTATTCCCTCTTTTAATTAGATAAGATAATACTCTCGAAGAAATAGTAGCTCGCCCAGAATAGCTTAATTGCTAGCTGCGAGCTACTAAGGCTTATAAACCTATTAAACACCCTCAATAAAAGTTACTATATTTTATATGTCAGTCCTAAGCCACGACCTAAAACTAATGGATTTCAAGCGTTCATTTATTTATCAGCAAAACTATAGATTCCCTTTGGGAACCTGTGCTCAGTAACAGAAATTGAAGAATAAGATCCGTACTTTAGTCTATTTTAGTGTTTGACAAAGAATTAGTTATCAGCTAACGGACATTCATTGTAGTTTTAGTTAGTATCTTTTGAAAGTTTTTTTTTTTCGCTCGGCGAGATCAGCTCTTAATTTTGAGTTGAAATAAAGCTCGTGTGTTTATACATGTAAATATACACATGAAATGGTATTATTTATAATTGAAATAGTTCTTGAAAATTTTACAGCATTGAGCCGATTTAATTTAATCCTAAGATTCGGAGAGTTGGATATTCTAATTTTAGGGCACTTGGTTAAAGTGACACATCACACATCATGTTTAATATTGAAACACCGCTTTGAATACGAGCAAACAAGGTCCATTTTAATGAAAAGAGCTCTTAAGGTTACGTACGATATACGCGTACCCATCGGCTCATTCAACAATGATCTTGGGGTTTAAAGGTGTTAAACATTAAATTTCCTTCTTTTAGTCTTCTNTTTCACTAAGTGACTTAAAAGGTAAACATGTTAATATAGTTTTTTCTGAGATTCAATAACAAATTCTGCTTAACATAACCTTCTCAAAACAATGTTGTTATAACTAAGACACGATTTGTTACGGTTTTTATTCCCTGGAAAATTAATTGAGAGTTCCTGAAGTTAATGCCAGTAAAATATTGTTGTTACCATCATACCACATTAGGATATCAAACGGTTAGTTTGAGCCTTCAATAGCGGAACAGCCTAAAAGCTTCTCACGGCTTTGTAAACATGTCTTTAGTTGCATCAAATTGCTAAACTGACAGGTTGACACATCACAATCGAGAATGTGTATATAGCTAAGCCTGTGGTCGAAATTTCCTTGTAGCTTTTTTGTAGCTATCTGCACAAGACTTCATCCCACGGTCGCTACACTTCGGGCAGCAATTTCTCAGGTAAGTGTAAAAGTAGATTTAGCTCACATATTGAGATGGTTCGTCTTAAAATTTTTGATAACTAACTTTCATGCATCGCTGAAATACTCCGCCAAAGCCTGATAAAAGCACTAAACTTTTGCCGTACTTGAATTAAACTTTGTTCCTTTTTCGCCTGCTTTTCATTTTCTCTTTATACGTCATGGAAATGAAAGCTGATGTTCAATTTAGGTAAAAGGTTTTGAAAGAAACTTTCCCTGCTAAAAAATACGACACGATCTTCGGTAATGGCCAAATAATGAAGAAATCGTCGATGGACGAATTTTGCGACGGTTTTCCAACCATATATTATAACTAAAAAGTTGAAATTGGATTTCATTCTGCGGGAGAATTGGGAAACAAAACTTGAAGTTTGTTTCCCGACAAAATCACAAAGCAAACCTCGAAAAGTGAATATAGTTCATTTAATTCGATTTCTCTTTTTCTGTCACATTTAGTTGGAAAAATTTGACCCTCAAGGGTAGACGGATTTCTGGAGAGCTTTCTATTCGACCAATTAAAAAATACGGTTTGGATATTTCTGGACTGTTTTCCAGTGGCCAAGGGGACATCATTTTCGGGTTTCAATTTTTTCGAGATTTGTTAGAAATTTCTGAGAGAGGACAACCTCACAAGGTTTCCACAAAATTTTCGTTTCATTTAATTTCCCTCGTGGAATTTCCGAATATTTCGGATGACTGGTTTGCATAACTTTCGGTGCTATATACAGTTTTTGGATTTTCTGAGAACTTTTTCAGGAAATCTCCGTATCATTCGCTCCCGATCCGAAATTTCAGGAGTTTAGGGTTGGATATGGAAAACGCCCTTCGTGTTTTGTTTACGTGGGAAAGTGAAAACACTTCATTGCTGCTTCAGTTCTGAACTAAAAATAAGCCTCGTTATAATCAGGAAGCGAACAAAAACAAACAAATAGAAATCACTCGACATTTTTCAAGTAAAGTAGCCAGCGAAATCAATTTATTTGAATCACCAAATTAAGTTTATATAAATGCCTCAAATTTATGCATTATTCAGGATAAAAACACGATATTAGATTGCTTGAAAAGTTTGAGAGCAGTTTGATTTGGATAATTAAAGAACTTTTATCGTAATACGGTTTTGCTAACAGACGAGTATTATGTATTTTGCTCTTGAAACTTTGATTAAATTAATACTTTAATTCAGAAGGTCTTAATTTTGAGTGCCGTTGAAGGTTTCATTTAAAAGGCTTACAAAACGGAAGTGAGATCGAACTTATGTAGCTGCGAGGCTTGCTTCAAATTAAAAAAAAGCTTCGACGTTACGTCATGTAAAGAAACAATAACTTCTTTCCTCTCGAGGAAGTGAAATTTCGGCAAGCTTAATCAGCTGTGTAAGGCCTTCTAAACTGACTTTGAGCCCTATCGCAAATACTCTGTTTCTCTGGCCATCGTAGCTTAACAAGAAATAACACGCAAACTACGGCGATAAACATGGCAATAACACGCATTGTTGGGAAAGAAAAATTATAAAGATATAGTTTTTGTTTTGCAATTTTTGGTTTTGTTTGCTTGTTATTTCTTGTCAAACTTTGAACTCTTTTAGCCATACAACTATTTCTTTAAGGTTAGCAACATGGCAGACATGAAGTTAGCTTTCTTGTTCCTGTTAATTATGGTGACGGCAACAACTGTCAAGCCTTACTGCCCCTCGTGGAGGCCTTCCTCATACAGCTGGCACAATACCTGGAAACAGTCATTCCATGCTTGGTGCAATGGAGGTATGTAAGATGCCGGGTTTTTTTAATGCATACTACTTGCAAAAAATTTCGGACGATTTTAATTTCGGACAAAAAAGTGTCTGAAAATAAACCGCCCGAAATTTCTAACCGTCCGAAATATTTACAGTACAGTACAAAACTTTTAAATTGCTCCAAAGCCGCTAGAGCGAACTCTAGTTTAGACACTACTTGAGATGCGTAATGGCTTGATAGATTGTTTTTTTACTTTCCCGTCGGTGTATCTGTAAATCTCTTGAGGGTGCAGTAAAACCATTATTTTCACAGATGCTGTTTCAGTCTAAAACTTGATTTGTAGGCGTAAATTTACGTTACTTAGGTTTCAGCAAAGTGAAGATATTGATGAATTCTTTGATATCGTGTTTGACTCTTAAACTGTACTTAAATTTGTTGGTGTACGATCGAAACATTTTCGGATCCCTCTCGAAAGTCTTTGGCAATCTTCATTTATTTTCGTAAATCTTCGAAGAGGTTCGGACAATGTTCGGATACGTTCGTGTGGCTCTTGGACAATTTTTGGAGAATCTTCGGAAAGTGGTCGGAAATCTTCGGANTAGGTTTCTGCAAAGTGAAGATATTAATGACTTCTTTGATATCGTGTTTGACTCTTAAACTGTACTTAAATTTGTTGGTATACGATCGAAACATTTTCGGATCTCTCTCGAAAGTCTTTGGCAATCTTGATTTATCTTCGTAAATCTTCGAAGAGGTTCGGACAATATTCGGATACGTTCGTGTGGCTCTTGGACAATTTTTGGAGAATCTTCGGAAAGTGGTCGGAAATCTTCGGAAAATCGTCTAAAACGTCGTTATTAGTATTTTTTTGTACATGGTTGCTTGTAGACATGGAATTTCTCTTCTCGTGTTCAACTTTATCTTTGAACACTCCATATCTACGCGCGCGCCATAGGCTCCCGCGCGCGTCCATGTGTTACTCTCTATATTTACACGCCAACCGCTGTTGTGAATATCACGTGCATCTTGGACTTAAAGGTGCCATGGGCATGGGTGCGATTTTGCATCTAAATCAAATTAATTAAGCTGCAAAATAAGATGATCTGCAGAGAGGCATAAGATGGAAGTGATGAAAAATGTCGGCATGGCTCAATAACAACAGTTATCTCTTAACCCAGAATTTTGTCACTGTGACATCGAAGTATCTGATGACCAGCACAACCTAATGATGGTAATGTAGCAAACTTTAGTTCGTATAGTGTGATCGTTCGGGCGAGGGTTGTTCTGAAAAGAACTGTTGATGGTGACTGACGTTTCGACAACCTGAGCGGAAGTCATCTTCAGAGTCAAGTGAANCAGCATAATAAACAGTACCACATGAAAGTACTGCTCAATAGCTTTCATTTGAATGGTCACAGACTAGAGTTTTATGCACGGAATTAAAAATTAAATCCGCCTCGTACAGCGTTATAAGCACTAGAGAAGAAAATACTGCTCAATAGCTTTCTCGTTTAAAGGCGCAATGTGTAATTTATTTTATTCTCAGCCAATAAATCCTCCAAAGAGTGATTACAATCAAATAGGCCATTTCCGAGTTGTCTTATGCCTCCGTGTCAAAACGAGTCTTCGAGCGAAATCATTCACTTGAAAATGTGTTCCCCCTACAGGTTCATTTTCAGGCAAATCAAGCTAATGTTCATAAGAAAGGTTTTGGCCAAAGACTCATTTTGAAACAGAGGCACAAGGTAACTCGGAAATGGCCTATTTCGCCTTGAAATACTAATACAAACTACTTCACACAAGCCTTCAAAACTTGCCAAATAATCACTATTAATTAGGAAATTGTTCTGGCATGGGACGTAGAGATAACCTTTATTTTCTTTTTGCAGTTACAGAGACCGTCGCTGGCGATTCTACCTGTGCAGAATGCACTAAACTGATGACGTCACAAGTACAAGGAAAACTTAATTATAGCAAATCCTAGTTCTAACAGAAACTTATAAAGGAAAGGGCTTTAAAAGTAAGAGAATATTAGTTTGGGACAAAGTAAAACAGAGGCAAGCTCAAATCTCAACACTTAACGTCCAAATGGATGTTAACAGACAAGCGCGAAGAGTAGCATGTCTTCCTTTTAAGTCGTATTGGAGGTCAGCCATTAAGTCGTGAAGACTAACGAAACACTGAGTATGACAACAGAGTTACAAAAACAAGTTCATTTATGCTAAGCGTATGTATCTGGTGTTACCTTCATGGTTTTAGTTTTTGCTTTTAGCAATCTTTTCCTGCGCGCAACACGCGGATAAACAGTGCTGTTTACTACGACTTTTTAGGAATTTCAACATCTTGTGAAGGGTTAAGATTTTAAAAGGTGCGTTTGTCCAAACAATGTTAAAACAATGAGCGTCTCAATGTAAAATAAAAACCTTGCAACTACGCACAGTGTTCATTAGTGATTACTTGTCGTCACGTTTTGTTGTCGTTTTTGGGCCAAATTTATGCTCTACAAAGGTTGCTGAAGTAATATATGAAACACGCAAGACAGTGTTAGACCACATTTCCAAACACCGAGAAGAGAGTTGGAAATAGGACGCGTAAAGGAGTATTTTTGACAAACTTCGACGCGTTGGAAATGTGGTCAAACACTGCATTGAATGGTCGGTCGAAACTAAAACTAAGGAGAAAACGGAGAATTAAAATCGAAAAATCTATCCTAATTAAGATCAGATAGCCAAACACCGTCACGGTCATTGTTTAAACTTGATGAAATATTATTGTGTTTAAGAAACGACTCTACCCTTCACTAAAGCTGCAACTTTTACCACAACTGAACTGTAGAGAAACTAAAAAGGAAACGCCCTCTACCCTCCCCCCTAACCTTTCGTTCTTTGTCATACACCTTAACGATTACGGGCAGAAGAAGTTTAGTTCGTGACTGTATTCTTTAATATTTCTTCTTGGGTTTTGCGCGCAAAACAACTCAAGTTTGGAACACTTAACTGGATTGTCTGGCGTATATTTCAAAGCAAAAACTCTGAAGTACTAATAAACTTTACTCTGTTAATCCAGGAACGCGTCAGAGAAATGGATATCCCAATCTCTCGATGGCTTCTCTTTGGTTACTTCCCCGTATCACCGTCCACGGGCGAGAAACTCGCGTGTGAAAGTAAGGGGAAACACGCGCGCCTTACCTCTCGGTTTTTTTCTCGAAATCAAGATGGGCGAGGATTTAGAGGAGCTAGGAACAGATAGTTTCAAATAATGCTTTCAAAGCCCAGCTTTAACGACTATATGGACACGAGCGACAACAATATCTTAAGCACGTTTAAAACACGGGTGGTCAAAATATTTTGAGTTGTATTGTTTCGAGTTGCTGAGACTGCACTAAGAATGCCCATTTTCAAGTTGCCTTAAGCTTCTCAAACTCATTAATAATTCATCAAGTTAAAACAAAGAAAATCCCAACCGTGAAGGAAGTTTGGATACCCGGTCTTAATTAGCATAGATTTTGACGATTTTACTTCTCCGTTTTTTCCTTAGTTTTTGTTTTGATTGAGAAGATATATCAAACACTCGAGAAAGTGTTTCATCGGCTATCCAAACAACTCGAAATTCGTCAAAAATAGTCCGCTGCGCATCGTATTTTCAACTCTCTTCTCGGTGTTTGGATATCCCGATGAAACACTGTCTCGAGTGTTTGATATATTACCTCTCCATCAAAGCGAGGCCTGGTGCACAATCATTCATATAAAAATAAGTTTAATTTGCATGTGAATGAAATGTTATTTTTATATGAAAGGATGGGTGCCAAGACTCGCTTTGAGAAAGAGGCTAAAGGTAATCCGGAAGTAGCCTACTGATGTCTGACGGGTAAAATCATCTGTGATAATAGGCCATTAATGAAAGCTCAAATATATACAATCTAACAAGCCAATACCACACAGACACGGCCTGATTGGATAGCAGTATTATTCGTTTGCTTTGTTTTAGTTTTTCTAAGAGACTCTGCAAAACGCGATCAACGTTTTTCCAAGAAACGAGAAGTAAAAAGAATGGAACCGCAGTCAAAAATTTCGCAGGAACAAATTAAATGGCCGCGTGGAGATGCGAAATTTCTTTTCGAGAATTCTCTTCGAGTTTTTCTTTAGGCGAGTGATCACAACGAACAAGTGAAATATTTTTCAACACGAGAAGAGAAATTTCGTATCTCCGCCCGACCATATAGTTTTATTTTTGTTACATAAAACCACAACAATACATAACCATAGTGATAAGGAAGTTTTTGGCGATTTTCTAAACGTTTCCGAACATTTTCCGAAAATTTCCAAAGATAAAAGACTTCCGAAAACTTCCGAGTAACACCCGAAAATGCTTCGATCATACGCCAACAGATTTAAGTACACTGAAAGGTTTATATCACCCGTCTGTGGATAAAAATGATATCGTCACATGCGGGATAGCATTTTTTTTTTCGATCTGCTAACACTCGTTATACCACTAAATTTTATATAGTAAAACTGACATTTTTATATTTGACGCATCTGAGAGACATTCTATCTAGGTACTTAAAGGAGCAACTTCAAGGTTTGCGCATCTTTAAAATTTTAGGCTAAATTTTTCAAGTTCGTCGTTTGTAATCCGTTTTAATCTTTTCCATCATTGTTCCTTTATAGTTTATTATTATCTCTTTGGTGTTTTGCTATCTTAGTAAACTACTATTTTCAGATTTCCTTCGGTTCAAGGTAATTTTGAACGTGGCCAAAAATACTCAAGATGTCGTGACTGAACTCCTTTAAAGCTGCACGGAAGGTCTGAAAATAAAACTTTAAGTCATGATTTTACTGTGAGATGAGAACAAACTCTTGAAACCTTTGGTAGAGTACTTAACTTCTTGAAAGTGTCAAAATCTGTTATGCATTAGACCTCAGAAATCTGATTCATTTCAGTACCACGAATACATTGCAGGGACAGCTAGTCTGGTGAAAAAAAACTTGGCAAAATTTCACTGGAAACTTAGTAATCGTTGAGTCACCTTCCATACTTGAAGCCCTTGAAGTGGGGTGGGGTGGGGGGTGGCTAGTACTGGCTACAGCACTCATTTCTCGGCCCAGAGTTGGCCAGTAACAGCATATTGTTTTTTTAATCAACTTTGCCAGGCTATAAACCAAATATTTTTAAGAACTTGTTAGTTTTCCCAAATCTTCGCCTCCTATTTCATGCTAAACATAGTATGCAAATGGTGTAAAAATACTGAACTTGATAATTCGTCTTGTCAATAATGCAGTGCAGTCCTGATTTTCTTTAACCAAATAGAAAACGACAATTTGTTCGAAAAATTAGGGAGCTCGAAAACGCAAAGGTAAATTTCTCCACTCTTTTTTGCCAAGGCAGGATCCAAAAAATCGGCATTCTATTGTATGTCCAAACCCAAGAAGACACCTATAAATTATCAACTATTTTAGAATGTTTTAAAAATATTTAATGAAGGTGTTTTGTTATCCCTTTGTCGATGATCGCCAACGATCATAGTCTATCTTTCTGTCATGTCGTTAAATTATCTGCGCACGCGATTTATTTCGAATTTTAGAGCATGAAGTTTTAAAGTAGATTATGTCTGTCACGAGACTGAAAATATATTGGTTTTGATCTCAGCTGCACTAACTCAGGCAAAGTGAATGTAAATAACTCGTTTTTCGACGTGAACCTCTGCACGCGAACCTCTGCACGCGACCTTGAGTTTCTATGGAAACGGAAAATCTGTTCTTGAATCTCATATCGACAAACGAAAAACCTGGAATTTCACGATTTTCACTGAGATAATAGCAAAGAAAAGGTACGATGAACAGAGTTGCGAACAAACATAACAAGCCATGACTAAATAAAGTTTTTCTTTAAGTTTATAAGCTACTACAAGTCCTTCCGACTTATGTTAAATTAATTTATTAATTATGTCTTCTATTTCTTGTAGACTCGAGCCATGAAGCGTTTTACGCTTATTGTTGTGTTGCTATCCATCGTGAGCACTTTCTGGGGTGTAAGTATCCCTTGCTAATTTTCTGTTAGCGTAATTCAGTTATTTTAGCCAACATTTTACCTAATTCAGTTAATTGCGAAAATCCGTTTGCTTCAGAATAAGTTTATTACTTAATGCAAAATTTCATTCTAACCTAGTCTTTTCACTTAAGAATGATGTGTTGGGCTTCTCCCTCACGAACGAAAGAGGTAACGATCAGGTGGCAAATTAAATTTTGCATGCTAGTTATATTACTATGGTAGTTATAGGCTTTTGATATCTGTTATAAAGTACTTTCCTATATTTATGTTTTTATTTTTGCATATATCCTATTATTGTGCATTCTATGTTAGGTAATAGCTGCATGGCTCCTATTGATAACAGAGATGTTTTGTAAGCTCCCTGAAGGGACTAGCCTGAAAATTTTAGAGTAGTTTTTTACTTTTCAATAAAGGTGTTTATCTATCATGTTAGTTAAGAGATCAATTTTTCGCAATTCTGTGGTGATACACCTAGTTCGGCGATATTCAATCTTACAAATCAATGTTTTACCAATGAAATGAAAAACTCGAATCCGAACTCTACAACGACTCAACGAAAACTGAACACTGACACGACTGATGGAATATTAATCAATGAAGGCGAAAATATAAGCATGCATTCAAATAGAATAGTTCACATTCGTCAGTCTTTTGTTCTGCCGTACCAACAGACATAGAATTTAGTACCTCTCAGAGCTGGCATGATAATTCAATGATTCTAACCACATTACAGAAGGCGATTCTGGTGCTTTTTAGGTGTCCACCCCTTCTATTGTATATGGAGCCCCCCCTGACTTGTTCCCTGTCTGCGGTGCGCCAGTAGATCGGCGACCTACAATATTTTTTAGGGCTAGTTTAATTTTAAGACCTTACCATTTTCAATGTAAGCGTTATGAACGTTGGCGGGAACAATACCAAACACGGGAGGCAGTGTTTTGCCACATTTTTAGATATTTATTATCAGATAATATTTTTACAAAATAGGTGTTTAAAAATGTGTTCTAAAAAAAAACAAAGGAAATCATGACCGTGACGGTGTTTGGATATCTGATCTTAATTAGCATAGAGTTTTACAATTTTAGTTCTCCGTTTTCTCCTTAGTTTTAGTTTTGATTGAGTAGATATATCAAACACTCAAGTGTTTGACCACATTTCCAAACACCTCGAACTTCGTCAAAAACACTCCGCTGCGCGTCGTATTTTCAACTCTTTTCTCGGTGTTTGGAAATGTGGTCAAACACGATCTTTCGTGTTTGATATACAAAGACGCTTCGACCTAACAACTTCAGTCTTCGTCGGCTTAAAAAGCTCACTGAAATTACTGGCTACCTAATGGTTTACTGTTAAGACAGCCAGAAATTTCAGTCAGCTTTTTAAACCGACGAAGACCGTCTTTGTATAAGTAGCTATAAACATTGTTTTAACGTTTTAGTAGAGTCAGTGTCGAACATTGACAACTTCGAATGTATACTACTGATGTGAATCTCTGGCTGCAATTTTAGTAAATAACTAATTTTCGTTTAACAGTGATGCGGGATAAAAAGCCTGGTATGTGTCCTAAACCAATTGGTCCTGGAGAGTGTTTTGAACTGTGCAGTGGAGATAATGATTGTCCTGGGAAGTTGAAATGCTGCTTTGACGGTTGTGGCCGGTTTTGTATGTCACCAGGTATATCATAAAACATGGCGTGCTTTATTCAGTCTTCATACGCACAGACTAGTTTTTCTTGAAAAGGTTTGTAAATGATTCAGTAATACAGTTTCAATTCTGCACGCGCTTTAGTTTGAGTTCTTAAGAACGGCGCTCAGTAAAAACCAGGCATCCGGTGCCAGAAGTTTAACAATTGATCTCGGTTTTTTGGGCTTACATCCAATAGGTATCAGGGAGATAAGAAACCTAATGTAGTTTGTTCGCTCTAGAAGTCTAATGAGCGAAAAACGAAGGAAGTTGATTTTTCAACGCTTGGTTTTTTGACTGCCGTTGACGTTCTTGACTTGTTACGTGTGAGAATGAAAATGAGCTTGTTTTTTTTTTTCTTTTTTTTCCGTACACGAACTAAAAACTGGGAAGGTCTGACGTTACCAGAAACTCCTAGTGCTTTCACCGGTTCCGATCTTTTATTCCCCAACAAAAGCCTTTGCAAAGGAAACGGCATGGGGCAAAGCTGGTCACTATATAACTATTAATTCCACATATTATGTACAATCGCTATTTAGTTCGAGATTGATATTGACGTCGAAGCCTGAATATATTTCTCTTCTTTATTCAGTTTAGGGGTATTGACTGAGCAATACAGCTGCGCTTTGGATTGCCAAAGATGATAACATAACGAAGCGTTCGTCAATACCATGACTTCGATATTGCTGTTAAGGATACGTATCAAATCTACTGTGTTAGCTAACTGAACATGAAAATAATTAAGTCTTTAAAGCACTCCTGGTCGCGGTTTGATCGAGTTCGATAATGGTTTCTGTACAAGCTGCTGCGATTAATGCTGGCTCATTTTCCGATTTCGTTAACACGCCCCGATTCTTGGCCTTGATCAAGGCCAAGAATTGGGGCGCACAAGCCTCTGGGAATAATTGTCTCCAGATTATAGTTTCTTGCCTCTACGGAATAATTGGACTTTTGGTTGAAACCCGATGAGAAAAGAGCGTGTCTAACGTTAAACAACCATGTATTTCGAAAGATCTTCGGGGTTAGTTGTTTAAGTACATAGAGAATGAATTATAATCCGAGATTGTTCACTGTGTTGAAATTCAGACAACAATTGGCTAAACTGGGAGGTATATTTTTCGTTAAGAACTATGCCATCATCAGACTAGAATGTGCAGACAAAGGTAGCTCTTAGAGTCGAAAGAGTCGAAACAGTTTTAACAGTGAACCAATTCCATTTTGCTTTTACTTTGCTCGAAAATGAAGAAACCTGGTGCGTTTGTAGGAAGACAAATAATTATTCGCACTGCATTGATTTCCCTTCGGATTGCCCTAAAACCATACTGTTATTTTCCTGCTCCTCAATATAAGCTCCTCACAGGAAGTAGGTACGGCCAGTTTCTGTTTTGTATGACGAATTTTATTATTTTAAAACATTGTTTCTCTTGCAAGATTAACTTGAGGACATTTATAACCGACTGATTTTTTTGTGTAAAGAAAAATAACAGGTTATTCAGTCTCGAGGTCCGTAACAAATTCGATATTTTACTGCCCTCTTTTACATCAACAAAAACGACATAATAACGGTATATGACTAGAACTGATTCTAGAGTTTGTATGAATAATGTTGGCTCAACTAATGCGCTCTTTGCCCTCAGAAAGGTACCATTTGTTTAAGAAAAAGAGAAAACTCCACGTGTGTCTATTCGCTCTGATGGTACATGAAGTAAGTTTTGGACTTTTTAAAAGATAAAGTCGCAACTGCAGTCTCAAACAAGATTTACCCAAAGAATAGTGATGACAATTTCCTAAGTCGTCCTCGATATAAAAAAATGTTCTGCATTGCCATGGCATGTTCAGTACAGATATTGACTGCATAAACTCTGAAAATAAATTAATTGATTTCGAAGAAGAAAATCATTTCTTTTGCCACGTATCCCGTCAAGTTGTCTATAGTAAACTAAATTTTTGCCACTGTTGCTCATGAACACAAATTTCATATTAACAGAAATGCCGCTTTACATTCATTCTAAGCAAACTCATTAAGTTTAATGAGAGCTGTAGTTCTAGCAACTTGAAGCTGCATATTAAAAACTTGGTATCTGTGTCCAATCGCAATGGTTTATGCACAGTAAGCAAACATAAAAAGATATATTAGCTAAAAAGTTGTAATATTAAACTTACACCTCAGCTGTGTATTTATTCAGGCTGTACTAATGCTTGCTTCCTTAACAGGACACTTAGATACACTCTGCACGAAAGGCTTAAAAACTAAGAAAAACGTCTCGGTCCTTCAGTTTGAATCTCATCCCAATAGACACAGAATCCAGTGACGAAGTGGTAGGTTTTGGTGAACAGCCTTGGTACCGAAAATATTAACTGCAATACTCAAAGTAGCATTTTAATACATATATATCCATTGTTACATATCTTTTTGACCACAAAATTCGTATTCACATTTTCGATTTCTTCTAGAATTGAGCCATGAAGCGCTTTACCGTTGCAGTTGTGTTGCTGTCGATTGTTTGCACACTTTTGAGTGTAAGTATATACCTTACTAGTGCTGATTTTAGATTTCACGAGCTCAAATGTTCTGTAAGGCAACTTTTTCGTCATTTCAGACATTTTTGCCAAAACGTGGACCTCCACTTCATAAAGCATGTGGGTAAACTCGCAACTGAGAAAAACATATCATTGTCCTACAAAAGGGAAAAATTCAGACTTCGGTGCTAAATTCACCTCGTTAACTTAAGAAGATGCAATTTTATTATATTCATAACATTCAATCAAGTCCAACCAGGTTTTTTTCTTATTTTTCCCTCTGTAGGATGAAGCAACAGGCTCCACCCTTAGGAAAAAAAGAGACGGTAGATATCAAAATGACTTTAAAATTGTCCTTGCAATTGAATTGCGATATTTTGCATCACTGAGAAATAAAGGAAAAAGGTTTCCAACCGAACGAAAAGATTTCAATTACAATCTATTTTTTTATAATGCAACCCTTATACAGGCTGATGTATGTCTACTGGTGTTTAGTCAGATTTGGGCAGCAAATGCGCCAAATTATTTCCAAACTGAAGGTTCCTCACCTCAAATTTATAGTTTACTGAAATTAAAACAAACAATGATTTGCGAAAGGCAAGGATTAGAATACACGGCCACTGTTTTCTCTTTCGCAAGTGTTAAAATAAGAAATTATCAGAGGGACTGATTGATTGAAGTGTTCCTCTCATGCAGTTGATCCGAAGGTACTAATGTGTCCAAGGCCGGGCCGGGCTGGAATTTGTGTCACAGAATGCGGACCTGTTAACAAATGCCGTGACGGTAAAGTATGCTGCTTCAATGGATGCGCATACACATGCGTTGATCCAGGTAATAACAGTTATTTTTTATTAGTAGTAATGGCTAAGCTATTGGCTGTTACCTCGATAATGATTGGAGAATGAAGAATAGGGAATAATCAAATCCCGTACTCGAAAACAGCAGGCTATCTAAGAAGTTTTGTTTCCTACATGGCATCGAACTGTTGAAAAATGGGAGATCAGAATGCCTCCCGAAAACAAAAACAGTCTTAAAAAGGCTAATCGTAATCACACAAATATGGCTTATCATGAACAGATATCCGCGAGTGAAGAGCTACCTGTTTGGTCCGTCACCTCAGATATAAAATTTACGCGCAAAAACAAATCGTCATTTGATCGCCTGTGTCCTTGAAAAGTAAATAAGTAGTCGCTTTGTCTAGCCGGAATACTAAAGCCTGATATTTTGTCTTGTTACATGGTGAAAATGGACCATGATGAAAAGAACAATTCTGAGGTCTTCTTCTTTTTCATTTTTCACGCTTATTTAATTTGCAAAAAGGATAATTCTGAGTTCTCCCCAGAGTGGTCTGAATTTTGCAATACGGCATCATTTTCAGTAAATCGTCTTTCTTAAACATTGCTCAAAAGTTTTTTTTTCTTTTTTCACGCTTATTTACTTTGCAAATAAAAAAGAACCCGATCAATATTTCCCCAACAAGGACCTTGTACCAGTTTAATGACATAAATATAGTGTTTTCGCGTTCCCTTGGCCCCTATATGTGGTAACCTGACGTTTTTACTTCAATAATAAAATTATTTTTGGATGCTTGTTTTATCTTTCAGTTAGAAGGGGACGCTGAAGGGCCAGGTTACCGGAAGAACACATCAAAGTTCCTCATAATGAAGCTACAAATAAATATCAATAGAGGTTAAGAATAGTGGATAACAGCTGGCACGAAATTTTGGTGAATTTAATCAACATTAAAAGTATCTGTGAAAATACGAAATAAACTCTGTGTGTAGCTGCCTTTCTTTCTCAAAGCCAGCAGTGGCTATGATCAATGGACTGTTCGCACTGCCTACATAATTAGCCCGGCGCGCGGGAAGAACTAAGTACTTCAAATTCCGGCGTGTTGGGCCTGCGCGTTAGTGGCATGATGC